TATTTGGGGAGTCTTAAAGTCTTACTTTACGATAAATTATTATTTTATTTTAAATGCATAAATTTAATCCATAAATTCAACATCAAAATTTTTTTTTCAGCTGAGAGGAGGAAGAATAGACAAAAAACGTAAAAGGAAAACAGATGTGGCTTTGCAAATTTTCTTCCAGGCTTTCTAATTACGTATTAGACCCTTTTTATGGTTGTGCGGAAAATTCAAGCATGGCAAAAATTGCCTCGTCAGTTGTCTGATTGGAAGAACTAATTTAGACTGAACAGGAATGTGCTGTCTGACAACGAGGCTTGACCCTCTGCAGCATCATATGTCCGTCCACATTTTCTTTGAAGAGTTTCTAAGTAATTTTCAATTTTAACATTTTCCATTCTATAGAAAATGTTATGTTTTTGTCTTATCCAAACATATTTATTCACAGAACTTATATTATTAAGGTTTAGTACAGTTACAAAATTTCAAAATGTAATAGTGTACTATATAAAATACTTACATGAAAATAAGGAGCTTCACATATTAGCATATATGTATTCTGCAAATAGCTTTGAGTGCCTACAAGGTGACAGACATCATTCTGTGTCTACTGTTTGAGTGTCTATTAAGTGTCAGACACTGAGAAAATGATAGCAAATAGGGCAGACATAAATCCGTCCTAGTAGGACTTAAAGAACTGGCTTAATTGCAAAAACTGGCATTGACAATTGAAGTGGTGTGTTTTAGATAGCGTCTTGTAATGACGTTCTTTGTCTACACAACTAAATGTACTAAACCACCATCAATTTCCTTCTTCAGTGAACTATCCAATAACACTGGCTGATTTCATCTCAAAATTATTGAAGAAGATGTAGAAATTTATCTTAACACCAATATTTTTTAAATAAAAATTGTAAATTCTCTTGTCTTAGAGATATAACGCTTATACATAAATAGCTATCAGTAACTGAAACAAATTGCTACAATCAAACCTTAAAATTCAGTTATGAGAAATTTTGAATACAGAATTAAGAATGAAGTTCATCCAAATTAGGGAAATTTCTTAAGAACTTCAATGCATGCAATCTATTCCTTTTTCTGTTTGCCTTTCCATTGATGTGGAATTAAGAGTCCTCATAATTCACCACCTCTTGCTAGGACTGTTTAAATAAATAGTGAGTCAAATTTTTTCAAATATTTTCCTTCTCAGTAGCAATAGTTTTCTCCTCAGTTTTACCACATACTGCCAGCACTCTATCTTCCTAAAAATGCAATTCTATTTTTTGCTAAGAGATATTTGCGGAATTTTCAAAATCTGTAAGAGTAATGACAAAATTTTTATCCTGAATTCAAGGTTTTACACAATAGGAGCACAACCTAACTTTCTACTAATCTCAGAAGTCCCCCTCCTCAGAGATGATGTAGATGACCGGAAACATCCTGGTCTAAAAGTTTGAGAATCTCTGTTCTGTGTTGCTAATTCTTTGTATGAACTCTCCCCTCCTCCCCCTGCGCTCCTTCTGCTCCTGCTCCTCCATCTTTTAATCAGCATCACTATTTCAAGTCAAATCTAATATTCAGCTCCTCGCAGAGAAGAGGTATAAAGCGAGAGTCTTTGGAAGTTTCTTGCTAAGAGATTAGACTCTCACTGGCTTGTCTACCCACTGCCCCTCCAGGTCTTCTCTGAAACAGCTCCAGAAACACCTTGGATTCTGCTGAAATATTATGAAAACTCTTGGCCTAAATAATTTCTTTTTTTTTTTTTTAAAGATTGGCACCTGAGCTAACAACTGTTGCCAATCTTTTTTTTTTTTTCTTTCTCTACTTCATCTCCCCAAATCCCCCCGGTACATAACTGTATATCTTAGTTGCAGGTCCTTCTAGTTGTGGCATGTGGGCCACCACCTCACTGTGGCCTGACAAGCAGTGCCATGTCCACGCCCAGGACTCAAACTGGCGAAACCCTGGGCCGCCACAGTGGAGTGCACAAACTTAACCACTCGGCCACGGGGCCAGCCCCTTGAATAATTTCTAATATCACTTGTAACAAAATTTCCTTCCCTCTCTTCCAAAACAAATTTCATTAATGATTCTAGGTCCTTTATTAAATCTATCTTTTTTATTTTTGAGGAAGATTAGCCCTGAGCTAACATCTGCCGCCAACCCTCCTCTTTTTGGCTGAAGAAGACTGGCCCTGAGCTAACATCCATGCCCATCTCCATCTACTTTATATGTGGGACGCCTGCCACAGTATGGCTTGACAAGCGATGTGTAGGTACGCACCTGGGATCTGAACCAGCGAATCTCGGGCTACCAAGGCAGAACATGAAAATTTGACCACTGCGCCACTGGGCCGGCCCCTAAATGTATCTTGAAAGCTATAATCCAAAGGTATTTTCCTTCCCATCAACTAAACACATTCTCTGTCCTGTTTTGGTATGAAGCATTTTCCAAAGTGTATATAGTAAACACCAGATCTTTTAGATATTGAGAGTTGTTAGGGAGCAGGAGAGAGAGAAAGAGAGTATGTTCAATCTATGCTGAAATAAGTTTGGAAACTAATGGCATGAAAAAGATCAACCTGATATCTTTGCTTCAGGACCTCTCAAATATTTTTATTGTGATTAAGATTTTATATGATGAAGATTTAAATAGACTTCTGACTCCATCATGTACCATTGTTCATTTGGCTGCTTCTCATTATCTCAATGCCCTAGACATAATCTTTAAAGAGGATGTTGCTCCTTTTTTATTAACAGAGTGGTGAATATAGGACAAGCTATGCTTTCTTTTAATACTTTCATGCTTTTATCCACAAACTTTATATATATGTGTGGCAGACTAACAAAAATTGGGGGAGATATGTCACAGCAATGTGAGCAATCTAGAATATCATATTAGACATCCCTGCTCTCGTAGCTCAGAAAGCCTGCTCATCTCCAGGAATTATCTCAGTGGATACTAAGAGAGATTAAACTACATTTTTGCTATTCCTCCCACTAAGAATAGAGTCTTATTTCTCCCCCATGGAACCTGGGTTGGTCTTAATGGCTAGATTTATCTAGAGCAAAATGACATTATTCCAGTTCTGGGCCTGACCTTTATAAAAGCTCTGGAAGTTTCTACCTTTTCCCTTCGAGCCCTTAGACTCCATGTAAGAATTCCAACTACCCATGCGGTGAGGACTCCCTTGCCACATGGGAAGGCTTCATGTGGATGCTCAGGTGGCAACTCCAGCTGAACAACTGGCCAACAGAGAGCGTCAGTGGTCAGCCCAGTCTATCCTTCAGATGACTACAGTGCCACCTGCCTTCTGCCTGCAACGCCTTGAGAGATTCCGAGTGAGAAGTCCTAGTGGAGAGCAGTCAAACCAAGAACCATGAGAGACGGCAAATTGTTGTTTTAAGCCACTTAGTTTTAGGTTGGCTTGTTGCATAGCGACAGATAACAGGAACAGCTACTTTCCCCCATTCTCATACCCCCACACTATTATATAATTATATATTAACCAACACCTTTTCAAGCTCTTTCATTTTTATTCAGATTTTTTAGTGGGTATGTCTTTTTATAATCACACAGCTCAGAGAAAGGATCGGCAGTTATTTATGAAGTAGTTCTTTTAGATAAAGAATTCAAGAAATCCAAACATGTGAGAGGCCACGTAGTCCAATCACAGACTCTATAAATTAAAGAACTACAGAGCTACTCCCATATGAGATGAAAAGAGCTGCCGTTGATGCATTTGTAGTCTCACATGTATAGATTACAGTTGCCCTCAATCATGTCAATTTCAAAAAAAAAAGATCTTAGTCATACTTTCACAATGTGAAAAAAGTTTAAAACATGAAATATGAGGATGGTTATGTTGGTACAAAATATTAGAAAGCATTTAAGAAGTCAAGAAGATTTCTAACTCAAAATTATTTACCAGTGTTTTTAATAAGCAACTGATAGACGGGGCTGTGGTTCTGGACCGGGAAGAGAATCCAGGCTGGCGAAGTGGTGAGAGCACCAAACTTTAACCACTAGGCCATCAGGGCCCACTCAAGGGACTCTTAATACATGTTTCATGAATCACTCACGAGGTCTTTGGATGGACTTTAAATGTTAATCCATAAAATTCTGTGCTTATGTGTATTATCTGGGTAGAGGATCCATGTCTTTCATCAGATTCTCAGAGGAAAGGGTAAACCTGGCTGCTTTTCAAATTATAACTCAGATTTAGTTCAAAGAGACTCACTCTGTAGCAAAAGTGACCTAAAAGAAAACAAGAGAAAACTAGAGACTACATTGGAATAGATGATGGAACAGCTTGATTTCTGTTTAAACCTCATCTTTCCTTCTAGAATCCTTCATGTTAAAGAAACCTCTTCCCAGGACAGGCTATACCACCCTGATGTACCACCCCACCTTAACTTTACTTCCCACCATTCGGTTAGCCTAGACTATTTATTGCCTATTTAGCTCTGGGTTGTGTAACACATGAGACTCAGAGGAAAAGCTCCATATTTTCTATCATATTTTATAAACTATAATGTTGACCGGTTGAAAGATAAAAATCAATTCAGTCTAAGAGTCATGAATCTATATGTGACATAGAGTGGCCTATATGGTACATTCAGTCAAAAATGGCATGTATGATGCTCATGTTGTGGGTTTGAAGCTAAAGATGGACTTCTGATTTCACTTTTCTTTACAGATTCTAACGAGCGAGGAATGATTAATCACAAACCATCATTATTTTCACTCTAGACACCCTAGAGCCTCCTTCAGTGACCCAGAATACCAACCTCTACCTAAGTTAGAGAAAATATGACAAACACAAGGAAGGACTATTAGATTTAGGCATCTTTGGGGACCCTGCCAAGTGAGAAGAAAATACACCTGAGATATTATTTGACTATAGATTGTATCTAACCCAGGGCAGGGAGCTGACTTTCTTCAGGTGCATAATTCTAGAGAATATCCCAGTCCATTGAAGGAAAGGGAAGAATAATTGATAACACTCACCATCTAGTCTATTATGAATGTAGATTCAGACAGTGGAAGAGGGAATGTGTCTTTCTTCCATTTATTCAATTCTTTGCTTTCAATCCAAGGACCCAATATGGGGGTGCCTCAGGGCATCTTTCAGGGAAGACAAAATAAAAGATATTGTGTTATTTTCCACAAGAAGAAATGGATTCAAATTATTACAAAAGTCAAGAGAACAAGAAGACAAGTCACAGACTAGGAGAAAATATTTGCAAAAGATACATCTGATCAAGGACAATTATCCATAATATGCAAAGAACTCTTAAAACTCAACAATAATAAACATACAACACAATTAAAAATAGGGAAAGACCTTAACAGATACCTTAGCAAAACAAAGATACAGGTGGCTAATAAACATATGAAAAGATGCTCCACATCATGTGTCATCAAGGAAATGCACATTAAAAGAACTCTACAGACCTATTAAAATGGCCAAAATCCAGAACTCTTGATAATATCAAATGCTGGTGAGGATATGGAGCAACATGGTATCATACAGAAAATATTCTCCGTATGATACCATAATGATGGATACACATCACAACACTCTTGTCCAAACTCATAGAATGTACAACTCCAAGAGTGAACTGTAATGTAAACCATAGACTTTGGATGATAATGATGTATCAATGTAGGCTCATCAATTGTAAAAAATGTACCACTCTGGTGGGGGGTGTCTTATTCATTTCCTGAGGGAATGCAAAATGGGACAGCCACTTTGGAAGACAATTTGCCAATTTCTTAAAACTAAACATACTTTTACTATATGATCCAACAATTACGCTTCTTGGTACTTACCCAAAGAAACTGAAAGTTTATGTCCACCATGAAAACCTGCTCATGGATGTTTATCACAGCTTTATTCATAACCGCCAAAACTTGGAAGCAACCAAGATGCCTTTCAGTAAATGGATTAATAAACTGTGTCACATCCAGACAATGGAACATTATTCATCACTAAAAACGAAATGAGGTATTAAGCCATGAAAAGACATAGAGTTATCTTAAATGCATATTACAAAGTGAAAGAAGCCAATCTGAAAAGCATACATACTGTGTGATTCCAACTCTATAACACTCTGGAAAAGGCAAAGGTATGAAGATCAGTGGTTGCCAGTGGGTGGGGGTGGGGGGTGGGTAAATAGATGGAGCACAGAGGATTTTTAAAGCAATGAAAATACTCTCCATACGATACCATAATGATGGATACATGTCACAACACTTTTGTCCAAACTCGTGGAATGTACATTACCAAGAGTGAACTGTAATGTAAACTACAGACATTGGATGATATTGATGTATCGCTGTAGGCTCATCAATTGTAACAAGTGTACCACTCTGGCGGAGGATGTCAACAATGGTGGAGGCTACACATATGTGGGGAAGGGGGGCATGTGGGAAATCTCTGAACCTTCCCTTCACTTTTGCTGTGAACCTAAAGCTGCTCTAAAAAAAACAGTCTTAAGAAAAATCACATGGTATACGTTAAATACATACAATTTCTATTTGTCAGTTATACCTCAATAAAGCTGGAAAAATTATCACAAAAGTTTAACTGCAAAAAACTTCACGACTAAAATAATTTTTATGCTAAAAATGTGTCCAAAAGTCATGATAAATGTTATGGTTAAGAGTATTATTTCTGAAAAGAAAACTGATACCCATTTGTTGGGAATTTTGTAGACATTATTGTATACACATTCAGCAGGCAACAAATATTTCCTTTTACTTTATATTAATCCTGGGAGGGTCTGCATGTGTGTGTGTGTACTCACATAAATATTCAACTATATTTAACTTATCCATAAAGAACATGAACACATTAAGTAATTAACACTTGTCAGTTACTTTGAGTGAATACCATTTTAGTCAAATGCCGTATCTGTGGAAATTAATAATAATCATCAAGATAATGGGCTGTCCAATTATATAGGTTATTTGCTAACAGTTTTAAAGCATACCATATGTTTGCCCAGAATGCAGATATCGAATTTTTCCTTAAAAAGAAAGACAAGCATTCATCAATTTAAAAGAAAACATTTTTAAATGTGAGAGACATACTGATTTATATAACGATTCTAAAATTGTCTAATACCTACTGCACAGTCAATCAAGCTGCAGTCAATATGCTAAAGAGTAAATGAAGAGCCAATTTCCTTACATTTCTTCAGTCAGTTCTCTCAGAATTGAAAAACCTTCCACTTCACTCCCCCTCAGGAAAGTCAGCTTATTTCCAAGATGACCTGCTTCTTCATAACTTCTTCCATGTCTTCTATTAGGCTGCTATAACTGTGGGAAATTTCCTGATCATAAAACTCATTTTACTTCAATAATAATTCAGAATGGTTCTGAAATATCACTGGGAGAAAGGAGTTAAAGGAACAGGCCAGCAATCCATTCCCTCCCCTGTAGGAGATGGAATGACCCTGGGAAGGGGGCAAGGCAGACGACACAGTTAATTTCCTTGTCAACCAGATTTTCTCAAGTAAGGAAACTAATAAGATTTGCTGGGAGAAAGATTCATTATCTCTAAAATGCCCTTGGAAAGATGGCTTTGGCTAAGGATTACCCAGAGTAAATAAAAGCTTGGGTCAGTGATGCATGGCTCCCTGGAGCTTGACAGCTCAGCTGTGCGACTCTGGGCTATAAAGGAGTAGAGCTGAAAGGCTCACCACAGTAAGGGGAACCCCACAAATTGCACCCACAGACCTCATTTACTCTGAACCGAAAAGACATGCCCGATGGGGGAAAACAGGACCCTATAAGCTGTCCTTGACATCACAGAGCTCTCTCTGCTTCATGTGTTCACTGACTGCCTATAACCTTGACATCATCTAGTCAAGTCTAGTACTGGGTGAGATCTCTGAGTTGAAGACTCCAGTACAACTGGTTTTCTTTTTCTTCTAAATTGTCTACTGCAAAAGCCCATATGACCAATGTTTATATACAAAATTTCTCCTCCTGTTTTTATAAGTACATGTAACTATGTTATGTTCATACGTGTTTTCTTCAACTCTTTTTCTTATAAACTTTTTCTTATAAACTCTGTAGGATGCATAAGCTGAGATCAACATATATTTCTCCAAAACTCCTCTAACAGACACTTCTGTTCTGGCAGAGAGCCATGGATTAAAACCCTGGGCAAGATAGATGTTAGATAAGCAATACTTGTGATATTAACAACACAAGTAACACTGGAAGGTGTTTCAACACTGTCCCTAGTGCCCCAGGTTCTTAATAACAGTCACTGATTCTAGTTTCTCCTGTTTTCATTATAAGCTTCCCACTGTGAATCACAGCTCTGAGTATCTGACTTCCCATCTTAAAATATTTAGTGGCTCACCGCTGCTTACAGCGTAAAGCCTAAACTTCTGATTACAGCCACAAAGTCTTTAACACCATGATATCAGATATCTGAAAGGAGGATGTCATTAGCCCTCCCTTAGAGCTTAACAATGTTGCACCAAACTATTTAGTGTTCCAAACACTATACTCAGTTAAGGCTGATTTCAAATGTGGCTTCATATTGACATATTGTCATAACCAATGCCAGAGCATTTAGTTGTAAAGGTTGTGTACAACACAAGGGCGCCATATTTAAAGATGATGCTATATATTCATAAACACCAAGGTAAATGTCTTGTTCTGACAATGTGAGTTATGTTATGACAATTTTCTAAAAGATGAAAGCAAACTTCTTGAGGAAGGATGACCTTTTTCTCCATCACATTTCAGAGTTGATGGTAGCTCACATGGCAACAGTTGCCAGACCTTTCAGATCAAGGATCTACAACTATCTGGATCTCTGCTACTTCTCTTGGATCTGATTACTCAACTGAAGTTTCAAATGGACTCAGCTCAACTTTTCAAGCTGCATTATTTATATTCTACATCCCTATGCAGTGCCATTGTTGGTTAAATCAGCTGTTGACTAAAGGAGTCTACTGACCACTCAGACAGAAGTCTAGGCAGGGATTTCCGAGAGGGAGATGTGGGTAGAGACAATTAGCCAAAAAACACTATAGACACTTATGCTGTGATATCATTTGCTCATGTTCCGTTCTGTCTACAATAACTTTAATTCACTGAATAATAGTGGCAAGGGTAGCCCTTCTGTCCTCAGACTTTCATCACTCTTTGTGATCACAATCTCAGAATATGAGACAACTGCTTTCTCTTAATGTATATTTCTTTGAAAATGAAGTGACTCTGGTCAGAACAGATCATATCCTTATATCTCTATTTGGAAATATCAAACCATCTTAATTAACAACCCATTGGAATCATATGAAATGGAGGAAATGCTTTTTCTGAAGAGATATGGTGGAGATCAGAAAGAAAAAACTTAGTGGATGCCTTCTGTGATTTCATCCCTTGACTTCCCATCAGCCACAAATAGCCTTTCCAGCCATGCAAAAACTCCCAGAATGATGAAATGCAAGTACTCCATTAATAAACAACTCTCACTTGTCCTTTCCTCCTGAGGGTGACTAACTGAAGTCTTAACCAGTTAGTGCATTGGTCTCTGGGTGATGGGCAGTCTTTCCCGTCATGTCCGGATATGGCCTCAAGGTCAGGCAGTCCAAGGCTAAATAACATATTTAACCACCACAACACACCGAGTATACACTCATGGAGATAAAACATTATAACCATCCCTTAAACCTCCCATTAGGAAGGGAAAGAAAAAGAACATATAGTCAGGCTGCTATGTCTGCAGGTTCCGCATCCGCGGATTCAACCAACCAGGAATGGAAAGGCCTACGATGGTTGCGTCTGTACTGAAAATATACAACTTTTTTTTTCTCATCACTATTCCCTGAACAATACAATATAGCAACTATTTACATAGCATTTATATTGTATTAGGTATTATAAGTACTCTAGATATGATTTAAAGTCTGTGGGAGGATGTGTGTAGGTTATATGCAAATATTACATCATTTGATATAAGGGACTTGAGCATCACTGGATTTTGGTACCCTCTGTGATACCAAATCCCCGCCAAAGGATGACTGTATAAGGCATCTACCATACTTCCAGGACTCACTGCCAAAGCTGTGAAATGAGTTCTTTGGCCAACCAATCTCAACGACCCTGCTTCTTTTCACTGGAAAATTCACCCTTTTTTTGCCCTTCTTATTCACATGTAGAAAGAAAATTGGACAGCTAATTTGTTTTAGGATCCTGCTTTCTACAAGGTCGATTTCAAACCTTGGGGGGTAAACAATCATACAAACATTTTCTCATTTAGCTTGTGGTTTTCTTGGTAACAAAATATCTCTCAAAATTGCAGTAGGATGCTGGCAAATTTGCATTGTTTCTACTGCCCAACCATGTAATCAAAGCTAGAGATCTTTGTAAGTCAGAGCTGATTAATCTGGATCTGGCAGTCCCGCCTTCTAGCCACAGGCTTTGGTGCTTTGCCCACAACCTTGATCTTTATTTTACTAACCTCCCACCAGACCTCTGCCTTCAAATTAATGGCTAAGATATGAACTAAGTGTATTCTGCCCTTCACCACAAGGCTAAATCCTAGTGGGTGACTCTGCCATGTGAGTGGTAATTAATTTGATCATAAAGAGAACACAGTATGGGAAGTTTTCACAGAAGACTAGAGGATCCAGTTTCCTCCATTTTCCAATGGCATCCCTGAATGTTGTTCCTACACCCCACCTTGCCAAGGGCACAGCATCCAGCTAGTGCAGTCTCCCACTATGCATGGTTCTCTAACTCTCTGTCATCCTGGATTCCTGGCCACAGCAAACTGAATCCTTCTCTTCCCTCTCTTCTGTCAGTTGGGCGAGTCAAGACCAAAGCTTCGATCTCTTTTCCCCTGATATTTTATTACAGGCTACAAGCATTAGGCAAGATATCCCTACTTCCTAATGTTACTCAAGCAAATATCCATTTCCAGACGTACTATAGGTATCAGTCTAATCAGTTGCTTTGCTCCTTATAAAAAAAATTAACCTCCCAGTTTGAAGGAAAGATACCTCCCCTGCCATCCACTCTGCCTTGACTCAACTTGATTCCACATCTTGAGGTCTTTCAATTACCGAAATTTCTTCTCACTACCAATTTTTCTGATTTTCAACACACTTTCTTTGTAAGTGTCAGAAAACCAACTCAAACTAGTTTTAGCAAAAACAGTGAATTTATGAATTCATATAAGTTGAAGATAAAGAAAGGGATCTGGCTTCAGGCCCAACTGACCACATTTAAGCAGGAACCCAGACATCTCCCACTAGCTATGTTCTTCCCTGCACTTCTCCTTCTCCCCCTAAACTTACCTCTGCTTTCCCCTGTGTTGGCTTCATTTTCAGGCAGTCTCTCTTGCTGAAGAATAACGAAAACTTTGCACTGAATTTAGGTTCACAGATTGCCAGAAGCATATTTTAAACAAACCACTGCAGTCAGTTGAGAGAGATGGTTGAAACTGATTATCAAAAACACTGAGCTTTCTTACAGGACTGGGAACAACGGAATCACAGTGAGACAGAAACAAAGAAAAGAAAAATAACCTGTGGGTCCTTTTACATCTTAAATGATTAACAACGAAAGTTTTTTGTGAATTGTTGAGAATTCTTGATGTGGATCACGGCTGCCCCAGGGAGAGAAGCCCAAGGCATCCTAGTCTATATGCCGATCTATATGACCAGATTCATATCTAAAGTTATATGAGCACACAATAACCATACCCCACCTGCACTGATACCATTTTAATGACTTTTTACATCATCTTCCCTTTGTCTAGTAGAAAATGTCACGTACGCATGCCTTATAAATTTAGCCCTAACCCTCAACACATGGCAGCCCTTCACTGCCCGTGGGTACTGTCCCCATGCTATTCTCTGAATAAAGGAGCACTACTACCAGACCTTGACAGTCCAAGAAATCTTTCTTTTGACTCTGGCTCACCGAGCCTGCATCAATTCTCAAATTGTTCTTAGTTTATGACAAGATTTCAAATATATTAAAACTTACTCTAACATAGTATACAGGATATACATACTAAAAAAATAAAAAGAAGGATCTCTAGGGCAAATCTTTCTTCTATAGATTTTCAGGATATTTAGACAGAAACATCATCAGCAACAACAAGCAGCACTGACAGGAAAAGAATAAGAAAAAGTAAGATTATGTAATAAAATACCATTTATGTCAGAAAGTTATAATAGCACAAAGAGGTACAAATTTAGCACATTAGAATGGTCTTTTGTGGACATTTCTATAGATGGAGGAGTTGACCTTACAAAGAGGAAGACAATGAATGTCCTTCTCTGAGACAGGAGGAAAAGGGCAAGAGTGAATGAAAAATTGTGAGGAAATAAAAAATCATCTGAGGTATGCATTTCAATATCTGGGTACTGGAGGAAAACGGAACACGTTTCCAATGACTGGTGTAGCAAACTAACATTGGAAGATGAGAGATGTAATCATTGAATGGTCCTGAAGAAATCAGTCAAGGTA